TATAGTGAGAGAAATTAGGGAGTGAGAGCATGAGTGTGCAGTTTGAAATTGAATTACTATAATACTTTTAAAATAAAATAAAAAAGTCGTCTGACTATAAGCACTATGATGAGCATTTAACCTCCTTGATGAAAAAGATGATTATCTTAATATATGGTGCATAGCATAATCCATTTGGAAACTACTTCTACCCCTTTTTTATTTTTTATTTTTTTAATACCAATTGAGAATTCAAAATCGGATTTCAAACTTGATGAATGTAGATCCTTCCCTAATGGATTCGGGCTATTCGTAATTAGGGTTTCAAAATTGCAGCGTTATCCTCAGTGGTGACTAGGCGTCGTTAGAGCAGATAATCATGTACAACTTGAAATTTTTTCAAACATTAAAAAGAAAAAGTTACTTAATAAAAATTTACTTGAATGTTGGTAAAGATGTTGAAAAAGGTTTCTCAGAGTTTCCTTCAGGATCCTTTCATTCTCTCAGAGACATGTCGTGCTGATAACGTGTTGCAAAACTAACGATAAAAGTGGGGGAGAGAGATGGGACGACATAAAGAGAAAAGGGCTTGGCCTTGTACATTTATTTATACTAATCATGATGAGTTTTATTGCCTTGCAAGTAGGCCTGGCAATTTCTGACACGACCCGATAACCCGACACGACACGACACGAAATTAACAGGTGTTTGGGTCGACACGATAACGAATCGGGTCTTATCGGGTAACCCGATAAGCACCTGTTAAGATAACGGGTTGGGTCGGGTATACACGTGGGTAAACACGATACACGATAAGCAGAATATTATTTTTATAATTTTATAACCCTAAAAAAATATTGTAATAATTATATACATTAATTTTACAATTTTATACCCCTAAAAATTATAATAAATATATATATATATTAAATTAACTATAAAATTTATAATAATTATAATAATTATATATACTATAATAATTATACCCCCAAAATATTAAGTCTATCTATACTAATTATATTATATATATATATATATATTAAATTTTATAAAAACTATAATGCATATTAATTAATAATTTAATATGCATGATCATGCATTTGCCAACTTGCCGTCCTTTTTGAAAAAACAATGGAGGGAAAATGAAAATGTTAAGAAAAGTTGAAAATAAAACAAAAAAGTGAGGGAATTAGGGAAAGATGTTGGAGGGAAAAGTGAAAATGATAAGAAAAAGTTGAAAAGGAAACAAAAAAGAGAGGGAAAAATGAAAATTAATAGAAGTGGTGAGAAATTTTTTTTTTTTTAAGTTATTAACTTTTTATCACACACATGACTGTCATGACATATCTCACTATTTTTATAATGAACACGTGACACGTGATGTATGTACTATTCCGTGTACCAGTCAATAATAATTTATACGTACAAAATAAATAGATTTAAATCTACTTAATAAATATATATATATATATACACACACACACACACACGGAACTTGATTGATGGCATACGAATTCTCCAAAACTAATTTCAACGATCCAAACCGTCAAAATTGTTTGTATATGCTTGGAGATCACATCAGCAAAAAATCACAAAAAAAAAACATTCAGAGATCAAGTAACAGGACAAAGCTTTTCAACGGTTATAAACGAAAAATCACTATTTAACGGTTATTTTAACTCCGATTTTGATGATTTTTTATAACTACACTTCTTGACCCTATATGAATACAATGAATGAATTCGATCTTCAATTTAAAATATTTACACAAGTGGATACCACAAAATCTTATGTTATACTTAATAAAAGTATAAATAAACTCTAAGTGTTAGTCAATCTATCGTTTTACGAATTCTCTAAAACTAATTTCAACGATCCAAACCGTCAAAATTGTTTGTATATGCTTGGAGATCACATCAGCAAAAAATCACAAAAAAAAAACATTCAAAGATCAAGTAACGGGACAAAGCTTTTCAACGTTTATAAACGAAAAATCAAGATTTAACGGTTATTTTAACTCCGATTTTGATGATTTTTTATAACTACACTCCTTGACCCTATATGAATACAACGAATGAATTCGATCTTCAATTTAAAATATTTACACAAGTGGATACCACAAAATCTTATGTTATACTTAATAAAAGTATAAATAAACTCTAAGTGTTAGTCAATCTATCATTTTACGAATTCTCCAAAACTAATTTCAACGATCAAAACCGTCAAAATTGTTTGTATATGCTTGGAGATCACATCAGCAAAAAATCACAAAAAAAAAACATTCAGAGATCAAGTAACGGGACAAAGCTTTTCGACGGTTATAAACGAAAAATCAAGATTTAACGGTTATTTTAACTCCGATTTTGATGATTTTTTATAACTACACTCCTTGACCCTATATTAATACAATAAATGAATTCGATCTTCAATTTAAAATATTTACACAAGTGGATACCACAAAATCTTATGTTATACTTAATAAAAGTATAAATAAACTCTAAGTGTTAGTCAATCTATCATTTTACGAATTCTCCAAAACTAATTTCAACGATCAAAACCGTCAAAATTGTTTGTATATGCTTGGAGATCACATCAGCAAAAAATCACAAAAAAAAAAAACATTCAAAGATCAAGTAACGGGACAAAGTTTTTCAACGGTTATAAACGGAAAATCACGATTTAACGGTTATTTTAACTCCGATTTTGATGATTTTTTATAACTACACTCCTTGACCCTATATGAATATAATGAATGAATTCGATCTTCAATTTAAAATATTTATACAAGTGGATACCACAAAATCTTATGTTATACTTAATAAAAGTATAAATAAACTCTAAGTGTTAGTCAATCTATCATTTTACGAATTCTCCAAAACTAATTTCAACGATCAAAACCGTCAAAATTGTTTGTATATACTTGGAGATCACATCAGCAAAAAATCACAAAAAAAAAACATTCAGAGATCAAGTAACGGGACAAAGCTTTTCGACGGTTATAAACGAAAAATCAAGATTTAACGGTTATTTTAACTCCGATTTTGATGATTTTTTATAACTACACTCCTTGACCCTATATTAATACAATAAATGAATTCGATCTTCAATTTAAAATATTTACACAAGTGGATACCACAAAAACTTATGTTATACTTAATAAAAGTATAAATAAACTCTAAGTGTTAGTCAATCTATCGTTTTACGAATTCTCCAAAACTAATTTCAACGATCCAAACCGTCAAAATTGTTTGTATATGCTTGGAGATCACATCAGCAAAAAATCACAAAAAAAAAAACATTCAAAGATCAAGTAACGGGACAAAGTTTTTCAACGGTTATAAACGAAAAATCACGATTTAACGGTTATTTTAACTCCGATTTTGATGATTTTTTATAACTACACTCCTTGACCCTATATGAATATAATGAATGAATTCGATCTTCAATTTAAAATATTTATACAAGTGGATACCACAAATCTTATGTTATACTTAATAAAAGTATAAATAAACTCTAAGTGTTAGTCAATCTATCATTTTACGAATTCTCCAAAACTAATTTCAACGATCAAAACCGTCAAAATTGTTTGTATATGCTTGGAGATCACATCAGCAAAAAATCACAAAGAAAAAAAACATTCAGAGATCAAGTAACGGGACAAAGCTTTTCGACGGTTATAAACGAAAAATCAAGATTTAACGGTTATTTTAACTCCGATTTTGATGATTTTTTATAACTACACTCCTTGACCCTATATGAATACAATAAATAAATTCGATCTTCAATTTAAAATATTTACACAAGTGGATACCACAAAATCTTATGTTATACTTAATAAAAGTATAAATAAACTCTAAGTGTTAGTCAATCTATCGTTTTACGAATTCTCCAAAACTAATTTCAACGATCCAAACCGTCAAAATTGTTTGTATATGCTTGGAGATCACATCAGCAAAAAATCACAAAAAAAAAACATTCAAAGATCAAGTAACGGGACAAAGCTTTTCAACGGTTATAAACGAAAAATCACGATTTAACGGTTATTTTAACTCTGATTTTGATGATTTTTTATAACTACACTCCTTGACCCTATATGAATATAATGAATGAATTCGATCTTCAATTTAAAATATTTATACAAGTGGATACCACAAAATCTTATGTTATACTTAATAAAAGTATAAATAAACTCTAAGTGTTAGTCAATCTATCATTTTACGAATTCTCCAAAACTAATTTCAACGATCAAAACCGTCAAAATTGTTTGTATATGCTTGGAGATCACATCAGCAAAAAATCACAAAAAAAAAAACATTCAGAGATCAAGTAACGTGACAAAGCTTTTCGACGGTTATAAACGAAAAATCAAGATTTAACGGTTATTTTAACTCCGATTTTGATGATTTTTGATAACTACACTCCTTGACCCTATATGAATACAATGAATGAATTCGATCTTCAATTTAAAATATTTACACTAGTGGAATTTATATACTTAATAAAAGTATGAATCAACTACACTCTTTGACCCTATATGAATACAATGAATGAATGAATTAGATCAAGCCAAAGTTCCAATACAATTTCATGATGTTCGATGTAAATTGAAGATTTTGTAAATGGAGGTGTAAACTTTTAAGAAAGACTTACAATCTTAAAAACAAAAACTCTTTATCCTTGCACATTTAATATTTGTAATAGATTAGTAGTGTATGTATTATTTTTTTTATTAGGCTTTCATTTTCGAGTGTAGATATAGTACTTAAACGAGAAATGTTTTAATGTTTTCAAGTAATATTTATGTCGCAATGTGTGATATGTGCAAATTGTAAAAAAAAATATTTTTTTCTTAACGGGTCATAACGGGTCGGGTCACTTTACCCGTTGGGTAAAGTGACACGACCTGTTAAGGACCCGTTAAGATAACGGGTGTGACACGACACGACCCGTTAAGATAACAGGTGTTACACGAAAACGACACGAACACGACAGACACGACCCGTTTGCCAGGCCTACTTGCAAGTGATACAAACCTAAAAAAATTAGATTTCCAAATACGATTCTATTTAAGTTTGCATAATCACATTCCTAATTAATAATTCTATTAACAACTGATTTTGACTTTTTACCAAAATCTCCAAACATTTGGAGAGGATGAGCGAAATCTTAGGATTAGTATCATTATATAAAACAGTATAGTCTAGTAGTACTCTACGCACACTATACTTTCTTACCACTAATTTAACTTCCCCTCCCTCTCCCTATATCACATCCGGTTATTTTGGCGGCACCATAACCGCCACATTTCCATCACTCCTCGCATTCCTCTCTCTCTCACTCTCTCTCAATTTTTTTTTGCACAATATAAACACTGTGGATTTAGCATTTCTTTTAAATAAATCCGTTGATTATTCATCATAGATATTCGAAGAGATTGAGGAGGTATGAGGGACTTTGCAAAAACTTCATTCTCTCTCTCCACCCTCCTCTGCCAAGAAGATGAAACTTGTCTGAACCAATTGGAAGACGAATCTAAAACTTCTGTAGAATCAAATCCATGTTTTCTTTTTGATAACGACGATGAATATGTCGAAAACTTGATTCAGAAAGAAGCTCATTGCTTTGGATCCAAAGGGTTCAAGGATTGCCCGGCCTCTGGCATGAGCTGGTTGAAAACAACTCGATTGGATGCCATTGATTGGATTTTCAATGCATGTCACTCTCCCTAAAGCTCTTAAATTTCCCAGATTGTTGTTTCTTGTTCAGTCCCTAAAAGTTTGTGGATTTTGCAGACAGGGGCAGTTTTTGGGTTCCAGTTGCAAACAGCTTACTTATCAGTGACTTACTTTGATGGGTTTCTTTCAAAACGATCCATTGATGTAAGTAAACCAACACTTTCAATGTTTTGCAAATTGGGTTTCTGTATTTTTGTTGTTTTGCTAAAATATTTGGATTTTTTATGGTTTTTTTAAATATATAGGATAAGAAATTGTGGGCTATTAGATTGTTATCAGTGGCATGTTTATCCTTGGCTGCTAAGATGGAAGAATGCAAAATACCAGCTTTATCAGATTATTCGGTTTCGGATTACGATTTTGAAAGCAAGGTGATTCAAAGAATGGAGCTTTTGGTGCTGAATACATTGGAATGGAAGTTGGGTGCAATCACTCCTTTTGATTATCTGCACTACTTCATCAATAAGTTTTGTGCAGATCAATTAAGACCAAAAGAACTAGCTTCTAATGCTATCGGACTAATTGTGGCAATGGCAAAAGGTAATATGACCCCATACTCCCAATCTAATTAAATTTACATAATTCGTTACATTTCCTAATCGATATGATTTCTGTAACGCAGAAAATGATTTGATGGATACTCGGCCGTCGATTATTGCAGCTGCTGCAGTTTTAGCAACATCAGATGGTCAATTAAGCAGAAAGATTATGGAGCTTAAGATGAATGTGATCTCATTCTTGCAGTCCCAAGATTATGTGAGCCAACTAATGCACTACTAATTACACATTGTTCTTTTATTTACTTAAGTTAATTAATCTTAATCAAATTTCCATTGGAACAGGAATACATATATTCCTGCTATGATTTTATGCAGGAAATACTGGAAAGAAAAGATAAGACACCAGCTCCCAAGTTTTCAAATTCCCCTCTATCAATCCATTCAAACTCAATGGAAGTGCTTGAAACTTCACCAGTTGGCACTAAGAGAAGGCTTACATTCAGTGACTCTTCTGATCAAAGTTACCCAACCAAGAAAATTGACCAGCCATAGTTACTGTTGAGGTTTTTTGAATATTTGTTGGTTTTTTGATTGAATTATAGAGAGAAAAAAAGAATTTCTAGGAGATGGGGGGTTTAAATTATAGTTATAATGAGTGTCATATTTAATTTCTACCAATTTATGGTATATTTGATTTGGGATTTTGTTGATTGGGGTTCCAATTTCCAATACCAAACAAAAGATTTCAGCTGGTGACAACCAGGAGAAAAGTGAAAAAAAGAAATTAATAAAGTAACAAGTAAGAAGTAATTGACTGAAGTTTGTGGATAGTAATTTTCAGTAGTAGTATTTGCTTTCGTAGTGCCACTGTTGCTTACCAACATTTTTTTTGCTTTTGTATCCGTGGTCCGTGTCTACGACATTTTGGGGTAAATTGTTGTATTTTCGTTCGTTAATATGTTATATATTTATTTGTGTTTCATGATCGAGAACATTAAGAAGGGAGAGGGGGGTCTTGGGGTGCTTGGGATGCTTCCCACTTGTCTTTCAAAAGGCTGAAAGCCATGAGGAATGAAGAATTGTTTTTGTTTGATATGTGTGTTGTATTTGGGCCATTGCCAAAAAGTACATGTGTGTGTGTGTGTTGTAAATGATCGAGAGTCAAACTCTTGCCGTTAATTTGAGAATAAGTGCGTGTTTTACCATCGTTAGGTAGAGCGCATGATCTATTGTGGCAGATTTGCACCGTGCAATCTTCTGTGTTTGTTTATTGAGCTTTCTATATAGGGGATTTATTATGTTTGCTTCTAGTACTCAGCTGGCACACTCCTTGTAATCTTGGTGCATTCATGTTTCTATTATTAATGAATTATCGCTATCGCTTTGGTTAAAAAAAAGGTACCGCGCCCTATACAGCAAAAGAAAATGGATAAAGGGTAAGGGTAGGGGTCTGATTTACTTGCAAGCATTTGAGAATTGAGAGAAGTTGTAGGACCCAAATGAACCATCTTCGTGAACAGCGAGACCCAAAATTTTGGGGATGGGCGGTGGAATTTGGGGGGCATGAGATTCATAGCAAAAGTGGGGTCGGAAGGCTCCCACCCGTCCATATGCCTTCTTAGGGTTCATAGGCCAGTCTGGCATAGTACACCATTGTATTTTAGCCTCAAACAAAAGATTACACTTCCTGCTTTAGAAATCTGTTTTCATGTTATATTTGTGTAAAATTAAATTCAAAAGATAAATATTAAAAATGGAAATGATTTTCGCACTCACTTTTTTCCCTTGCTCTGTTCTGACCATCTATGGCCACCGGATTGAGAGAATCAAAAGAGGATAAGTGGACGGAAATAAATGGGAGTATGTAGAAGGAGAAAAGACGTGTATGATTTAGGGCTGAGAGTCTGTGATGCAAAATTTGGGGCAGACTGATCTTCTGGTCAAGAGGTATGAGTGGGGAGAAAACGAACCTCATCAATGAAAGTACATATAAATTTTGGTAGCTTTTAAAATGCATGCTGCAGAAATTGATGCTGTGGTTTTGGGTTATAAGTTTTTATTTGCAATTTTAGCAACTTTTTTTAATCCTCTAGGTTGAAGACAGTTCAGTAGATTCACCCTAAAAAAGCCTTGTATTTAATCTTGTGCAGAATTGGGGGTCAAATGCATTTGGTCACAATGTCCACCTAAAATCTGAACACTTACTTTCTTGGATTTTTATTAGCCCAAAACAGGAGAAACATCATGTGATTAGAAAAATACTAATACCGGAGTATATAGCCGGTAAACGAGAGTAACATTTTGTGATTTTTAATAATTTAATTAGAAAAGTCAAAACCAATAAATGTAGAGAAGACATAGATAACCGTGGGTTGCCATTGGTTGTCTCATTTAAATTTTTTTTTTAAGTTAATTAGAAAATTTTAGGGTCTCAAAAGTCAAAACCAATAAATGTAGGGAAAAGAAACTTAGTTTCATTATGTTATTTTTTTTACCATAAGAAGATGGTTATTGTGATTAAGTAATAAGGTAAGAGAAATGCTAAAGAGATTTTCTTAAAAGTAGAATTCTACATGAATTCTCTGTTATCTTATTTTTTTGGTACAATATTTTGTAATGTTGGTACGAAAATTAATGTTAAACTATTTGGTGATATAGAGAGAAACTAAATCGACTTTCACCTGCAAGTGATTCTTTATTATAATGATAGAAAAATGTTGATCTTTTATGTGATAGCATGAGTTTAAATTTCGTTGATGACTAATTTAATATCTAATTTGAAGAAATCTATCGTTTGACAAAAAATAATAATAATCTACTTTCAGCTAACTAGGAGCCTTAGGACTACCATGGCATTCCATTGTCACAAAATTATGGTGATTCCATAACGCATAAATGATTTCTAGTCACTTATATTATGCACATGCGTGAACTAGTGTTATTAACAAAATTCCAAACTATCTTAAGTTTTGGCGCTTTTAAAAACCAAATGAACCCAGTCGATAGTGACAACAAACAAGAACCACTTTTTTTTTTTTGGATAAATTACATAAAACTATCTCAATTATTTATCGAAACACAATTGTATATCTCATGTTTTAAAAATTATAGTGTTATATTTCATTTTACAAATTTGTTGCAATATCAGATATCCGTTAATTTTTCTATTAAATGCTGACGTGACTAGAGTCAGAATCCACCCCCTAACTGGATTAATTTTTTTATTAAATATTAAAAAAAATCATTTAAATATTTTTTTTAAAGTGTAGGTCCACCCATACAACCCCATCACGCTCACCCTTCTTCTCCAGCTCGCCTGACGACATGGACCTCACCTAATCCCCGAGCACCCTGACGGAAAATTTTTAGGTGTACCGGGTACACCAAATTTTTTTGGTGTACCCTCACTCATTATAATTTTTTTGGTGTACAAAAAGTGAGGGTGCACCAAATTTTTTTGGTGCACCCTCACCATTATGAGTGAGGGTACACCAAATTTTTTTGGTGTGCCGGGTACAACGAAAAATCCCTCCACCCTGACCTCACCACCTGCCTCTACCACACCCACCTCAACCTCGTCCTCTTCTCCCTCACCTGGTCCCGCTCCTTCCTCGAAGAAAACCCACCTTAGGATTCCAATTGAATTTTCAAAAGGAAGCAGCTTTTGGTACCAAAAAAAAAAAGAAACCCAATTTTCACAAAACGTCAACAAAGAGAATTATTCTTGGAAAAAAGCAGAAAATTAAACGACCACAAGAAAATTAAACCCAGATCTCCAAAATTCCAAAGGAACCAACTTTTTGCAAAATAAAAGAAATTCCCAAATGCACAAATGTTGGAAATTTCTATCAAGAATCAAAGCCTCTCACCGCACCACAGTTAATTGCCATACCGAATGCTTGAGCTCTCTTATCTCTTCACTCCCTCTCTCTTTCTCTCTCTAACTTTACTCAATCTACAAACTTCCACACCAATAATCAGGTAGGCTGGATTTTTAGCTGTGTTGAATTCAAATTGAACGTTGGGGTAGAGCTTCTTGGAGCCGTGCTTATTCCAGAAGAGAAAGGGCTTGACGTGGAGGTGGAAGGAAGGGGAGGAGAGCAGGTAAGGGAGGGGGGTCGAAGGAGGGGCGGAGGAGGTTGAAGTCGAGGGAGCGGCCGAGTAAGGAGCCCGGAGATGGGCGAGGTAGTTGGGTGGACTGGGGAAGAAGGGTGGGGTGATGGGTTTGTATGGGTGGGTCCCACATTTTTAAAATAAAAATATTTAAATGATTTTAGTTAATTTTTTATTTAAATATTTAATTAATTTTTTAATCCAGTTAGATTAAGAATTGGATCTGCTTCAAGTCACGTCAGCATTTAACAGAGAAATTAATAAAAAAAACTAACAGAGGTTTGATATTGCAACAAATTCGTAAGATGATGTATGTCATTATAATTTAAAAGACATGAGGTATAAGATTATGGTTAGACGCATAATTAAGATAATTTTATGTAATTTACTTTTTTTTTTTTTTTTTCTCCTTGTACATATATATCTATATTTTTTTGTTCATCGAGTTTAATAAATGAAAAAAAAAACAATATATATGATAAAACAATGATAAGTACGAAAAGAAAAGGTGTGTTTACCATTTTTAATTTGTATACACAGTCCAACATAGGGGTGGTTCGGTATGGGATCCCATACCGAAACCATTGTCCCGATTCCCAAACCGAAATTTTTGGGAATCCCAAATTCAATCCCAATCCCAAACCAAATTTTCGGGAATCCCAATTTTCGGGAATCCCGAAATAATTTCGGGATTTCGGGACAAATCGGGAATCCCAAAATGCTTTTAGGCTTTTGGACTAAAATTTGACATATTATGTTTTTGGGCTAAAATTTGACATATTATAAAGTAATAAATAAAATAACAAACTCAAAAGCAAAAATAGTAGTTACAAGCCAAGGTTTATAAATAAAGTAACAAACCCAAAATCAAAAAAATTAGTTATGAGCCAAAATTGTGTTGTATTCTCCTCACCTCCCAAATTAGCCGTGTCTAAAGCAATAAACCACAAATCATTTACATTGAATTATAGTCTAATAGATAATAAATACTAAGAAAATAAAAGAGGAAATTAAATTGTTTACAACTAATAAATAATGAATAATTCAAATACAAACTTTTCATATCACTAACTATTAGTACTAGTTAGAACTTAAACTACATCAAATATTAAGGTGCATCAATTATAACTATCAGTATACCCTTTATTAACCTCCCTATAGTGAATTACACCACATCAGTTATATTAATTAGTTTTATTAATGTACTAGTTTATCAATTAACAATATGCATGCACAATATTAAGGTACTAGTATAATATATGTATACTGATATATATAATCAAACTTTTCTGATGAACTTAAACTAATATCCAAAGATTAATCACATTAGTTGAGACAACTGGAATATAGAAACAAACAAAAGATTAATCATATTTATTTCAATTCGGTATGGGAATACCGAAAAAATGGAGATGGAATACCGAATCCCATACCGAAAATTTCGGTTTGGTTCGGGATTACATACCGAAAATTTCGGGAATTTTGGTTTGGGATTTTTTTGGTTTGGGATCGGGATTTTTTCGGTTTGGTTTGGGATTTTTGGGATTTTTTTCCAGCCCTAGTCCAACATACCGAACCGAATACGACGATTCAAGTTTGAACTGGGATCAAGAAAAGAAATGACTTCTTCAAAAGCTTAAAAGATCATCCACCACTTTTGAGTACTTATTTAAAAACTTAAAGGGAATCTTTGTGTCGCTAAATGA